AAATGAGGTGATCACAGTCATAACTGTTAATAAATGAGGTGATCACAGTCATAACTGTTAATAAATGAGGTGATCACAGTCATAACTGTTAATAAATGAGGTGATCACAGTCATAACTGTTAATAAATGAGGTGATTACAGTCATAATTTTAATTTCAATCAAAATTTGTGAACAAAATTGAAACTGGTGAAAACTGAACGTCTCGGTTTTCAATGCATGCCACTTCTCATGCATTAAGTTTACGAAATTGAAATTCTATAGAAATATGCATTTGAAAAATTGCTAGAAAGGATTATGGCATAATAAAACGTTACAGATATTGGTCATTGATATATTTGCTGAGACTGAACATTAATTTATAATTTGCATCTAAAAAAATTTTATATGATAACCTTATGCTTCCAAATTCCACATACATCGATTTGCTTCATAGACGTAAATCTGATCACGACATACTGTCAGTAGCACTTGAAACATGAATTGCATGAACATGGTATATTGCGTTGCTCAGCAGATTCCATCTTCTGAAGTAACTTAATGAAAACAAAACTAATGCTGAATTGCTGAATAGGTAAAAGTACAACAATGACTTTGACGTGGACTTTTCTACTCTGTTAGTTGCGATCTGCAATTTTCCCTGCAGTTGCACACTGCATCTATTCTTTTCCTACATATCTTGCACAATCGTATCCATTTCATCGTTTTCTTAAAATGAAAAAAAAAGATAGGGAACTTTTTATCTAAAGATGTTGGGCAAGAATAACAACAGACTATATTAATGTGGAAATTTTTCTACACATAACGTCGATCGGAATGATAATGTGCACAAGTCGAAAACGATCGATCAGATTCAGTTCTTATCATTCTTCTTCCTTTGACCATTCTATAAAAGTAGTGTTGAACACTTCACCCAACACAAATGCCATTATGGTGAATGGTATTTTATACCGCCATATGGATAAAATATGCTATGTGCAACGATAATGCCATCAAAACGAACTAAACAATGGTTGCTTAGACAAATTAGATCTTTTTCCAAACTATTTGAAAGTGTAGCAAGTTTAACTTCAATGATTTGAAGTTTCATTAGCTTGATTACCAGTCAAATAACATGTCATGATTATCAAATTAAGCTCAATTCCTGAAATAACGCAGAAGTAATAAGCTTCGAAGGAAGCGTAAACAGCTTAGTATGTATTTTCTGAAGATCTTATGTGTTAAGCATATATTCAAAGAACGACATCTCGGCGAAGTGGGTTTATTACCAATTATCTAGTATAATGTGTATTAGTGCAGACGCATTTCGAATATGATTGCACATGCTTTTCTCGTTATCAATCTTTTTTGTTCTAAGCTTCTGTCTACCCATTTGCTTGATTATCTATTGAAATTATTTGGTCCAGAAACAGCATTAATCTTTTTGGTTTGCAAGAAATTAGGTGAAAACTATCTTGTCGTGTTTTTATACTGTCCTAATGTTTCTATGGCGTGAAACATTTGTTCATATATACTTTTTCTATATGGCTTTGGTACCATTTCAATTTCATTATTTATTAATTAAGGACTAAAAAGAATCCAAAAATTTGGAAGAAAACTTTAAAATTCTTTAGTGAAAAAAAGCCTTCAAAATACAGGAAATGGAACATGAAACTGACTTTGAAATGAGGAGGGAAATAGATACTGCCTTGATGGCACGTTTGTCCGTTGGAAAACAAATTTTAATTTGAAGCGATCTTATTTTAACGTTACGTATCAGTACTTCTCTATTGCTTTTTTATTTATTTTTATCTAATTTTAAACTTTACTTCAGGTTTATTTCTATTTATTGTTTCATATGTTCATATATCAGCGATTAACAGTTGCATTTCTTTTGTTTGCTTAATTTTTTGGGTGCTTTTTCAACTTGCCGATTTCGTGGTCAACATTTATTTTGCATGACATTTTATTATTAATGCGCGGTTCATATCAAAATTTTATTGAACAGTGAAATCTCAGCAAGTTGAAAATTTTGAAATATCGTAGAAAATATATTTACTCACTCATTTTTATGACAATACTGCTGTATCAAACACTTTCGTTTGTCAAAATAACCTGACAAATTATAGATTAAAATGGGGAAGAATAATTTGTTACCATAAAATTTACTGTCGAATTACCTGTAAACAAGCTAACAATACTTTAATGAACATGTGATGTTTTGAGATTAGCATATTATAAATAGCCGAATGAAATCGCTTATGATAAGTTTCTGATATTTCGTAGTATTTACATCCTTAACAAATTGGAATTTCAGTTATAATTCGCAGTTTTTTTGTTTTTTTGTTTTTTTTTGTCATATATCCAATTATTTCTTTAATTATCCATCACGCAATAAGTGTATGAGCTATTGGTGGATGCGAGAATCGTACTTGCAATAGAAAAAACTGAAATTAAGAATTTATTTTAGATTTTAGTTCTTCGAAGCATACTTACTGTATCATTTTTTTATTTAAATAAATTATGGAAAGTTCACATAAAATATCAACTTCTACGCAGGCCATGACCAGACCCAATTCTTGTGCTATAAAAATCAGAAACTATCAAGATGTCATGGTCTTGGTTTAGTCTACAACTCTATAAAACATTTCCCGACAGAATTTCCCCATCCAATTATTCCTTATGAATCATCATCATAAAATTACTGATGATCAGTAAGTCGTTTTCTACCTTGATTGAATAAAAAAAGGAATGTATAAGCAGAACATTTAAGAATAAACAGACTAGTTGACCTGCGTGAATTTTTGTAATGCTGCTTCTCAAGATTGTCCTCTTCAATGAACAGATGCTGAAGAAGTATACTAAAAATAAAAATATTCGTTTATATGTATAGAAAGGGTGAAATGTCTCGTAGTTCACCACCATGAAAAGCATCATCCATAATAATGCGCCAAATCGAAAAACAAAAAAGTTAAAAAGGAACTCAACAGACACTGAAACTAATACAAAAACTGCAACCGAAAACTGAAATGAGAAGGTAAGATCACAATTTAGGTCACAATTTCAATTTCAAAATTACATTTAGCAAAAAAAGTAGGCAGCATTGCTTCCTCATTTTCAATTTTGTTTTTATCCGTATTGAAATGTTTCCCCGATGAAATATTAAATTACAAGAGGTTTGAATTCGTTGTTTTTCTTTTCTAGATTTTTCAAAAGTGTACAAGGCATAATTTATCGAAAAAAGAGAAAACATTTACATCAAAAAAGCGAGTAAAAAGAGAGTGTCTTGCAATGCACGTCAAAGGAAGTGTCTTGCAATGTACGTGCAATGTACGTCATATGGATTCCGATTGTTAAGTCTTATGATCAAACGAACGTGTAAAAATCTTCTGAAATTTCCGAAAGTTATACATGAGCTTTTCGATTCAAGATATTAAATAAGCTTTGGAAATTACCTGAATTAAGGTTTTCAAGGCTCGTTTAAAGATCCTGCTATTGTTTTCCTAAAAATTGTAGAAATCCAAAAAAAGTTGTTGAAACTCCAGATAATTTTG